ATCGGGACCGGAACTAGGGTAGAACCTCCACCCCCTAAGCTCCTTCCATCAACAGCAGGAAGTAGAGAGAGAAAGAAAAGAGAGAAGGGAGAGAAGATGAGAGGTGTGAGGATTTGAGAGGGAGGAGGGGCCTTTTTATAGGCATTTTCGCGGACCTATCCGGAACGGCCGTTCCGAAAAGTGGAACGCCCGTTCTGGACCCTTCAAATCTACGCAAAATTTTCAACTGGAACGGCCCGTTCTGAAATCAGAACGGCCCGTTCCAAAACCCAGCAGAACGCCCCGTTCTCCTTCTGGAACGGCCCGTTCTGCAAGGAGAACGCCCCGTTCTCCTTCTGGAACGGCCCGTTCTGCAAGGAGAACGACCCGTTCTCCTTTGGAGAACGGCCCGTTCTGGGCCCGTTCTGGACGTCCCAAAAATACACAACTTTATCATTTGGAACGGCCCGTTCCACATTTGGAACGGCCCGTTCCAGAAACCAAAAATACCCCAAAAACTTTAACAAAATTACGAGAATGCCATTTATAATAAGTTTACAAAAATACCCTCATTCCTTTATTAAAATTACGAAAATACCATTACTAATTACGAAAATGCCATTAATACAAAAATACTCCTTATACAAAATTGGGGTGTTACAAGATACGTCACGTCAATTGTTTCGTTGTTCAAAACTACAAGCAAATGATGCTTTGCAGTGTTCTACAGTTCAACTCAATTTGATGGGTGTCGTGTTAGTCACTATTATCGACGGTGAATATTTCAGGGTTTAGGGTTTAGGGTTTAGGGTTTCAGGGACGAACAAAATTTTTTTTGATAGGTGTCGTGTTGCAAATCGAGTACTAAACTCACGTGTCTCGAATCTTGTGAATTACTCACGTTTCACTCAGATTTTACGTTAAAGTTACAAAGTGTACCATTACAAGAAAATTTGTTTTTAGAGACAAAATTTTTAGTCTCTAAATTAACAAAATCAGTTATTAAATCAATAAGTGACTAAATTAGATACCAATTATAGAAAGTAGCTAAATTACTGGTTGTTAATTTTAGCTACTAATCTAAAGTCTGATTTAAAAATTAATTTAATGACTAATTTTTTTATGACCGATTTTGCGACTAATTTTATAATGACCAACTTAGTAACTTATTCTACAATAACCAATTTATTGACCAATTTTTAATGACCATCTCATTGACCAATTTTATAGAGACTGTTTTAATTACCAATATTATAGTAACCAATTTAGATACCAATTTTGATACCAATTTTGATAACAACTAATTTAGTAATCTATTTTATAATGACTAACTTAGCAATTTATTTTGTAATAATCAACTTAGTGACTGATATAATAAATGATTCTAAAGTAACCATTTTAGTGACCAAATTTTAAAATAACTGAATTAGTGATCCATTTTTTAATAACTCAAAGTGACTGATATCAAGGACGGAGCCAAGGGGGGACCTACGGGTGCCACGGCCCCCCCAACAATTTTAATTTTTTTTTATATACATATATATTACTATATGGCACCCCCTATTTTTAATATAAACTCATATGTATAATTAAATGAATAACCCAAATTTATTTTTTTATTCAACTTTTGGACTTCTGGTACGGCCTGCTATGTGGTATCACTTTGGAATTTTTTTTTTTTTAAAAAAATGTAGCGCCTCATTTGATCATTC